ATCCGAACCCTTTTAGAAGAACGCGTTTTGGCCAAACCTCACCGATATCCAGATTGAGCAATGTGATAAATGAGCTAGGTCTGGAAATCCTAAGTTGCTTCCCTCACACTTTAAAATCGAATTTCCCGTAGTTTTTATAATTCAATTTTTTTAGGTCTTCGTGTATGTTATGTTTGCCTATGAGTGTTTGTCACATTAAATATTTTATTTTACCATTGTATTAGTGTGCCGAGCGTAAGCAAGCTTTTATAAATAAATAAATAGAAATCGAACACATATTACACGAAATGTGTGTTAAGAACTGAGCCACAATTGTTACTTATGTAACAAGCTAACAAAAAGCCTAGAAGGCGGGCTACTAACATATATACAACATTGTGACTAGAATAATTTTGGCCCATATCATAAACTGGGATTATACAAGTATGCTTTGACGCAAATATTTAGGCCGTGATTGTAATAACGTTAACATGTAATCATTGCGTTAGAGTTATAGTGTTGCCAAGCTTACACTAAACTTTATATACTAGAACAAACACGTTTTTCCTATTTAGATATTCTATATTTTATTAAGATGATTTTGATTCAAAGAAAGTTAAATATTTCTTTAAAATATTAAACAACAGAATTAGGCGTTATTTGAAAAGAAATCGTGTCGTAAATTAAACAGTGTTTGGAAAGTTTGTGCTCTAATAGATAAACGTTTAATTCAAACCATAATTTAAAGAAACTATTCTAGTTTAAGTGTAATTTCTCCCTCTCTATGTACTACTGCTAACTGTAGGAAACGTAAATTTAGACCTGCCATTTTTTTAAATATTGACGTTCACAACAGTTATCGATATGAATAAATTAATTTCTATTTATTATATTTAAATTTCATGTTTTATTTATGGTGATACCCAAGCGTATATTTAAGCCCCGTATTTATTTGTAATTTTCTTATATAATAATAATTTTTAACTCGTACGAACGACACTACACGCTAATGAGAATTTAAATCAAAGGATTTTAAATAAGCATTTCTACTTCACACCTTAGCTATACAATGTTTTAAAAAGCTTCCGTGAGCTTAAATGACGTTTTAAGTTGAAGAGTCAGCGAGGATTTTCAAAAGAGCTTGAACCATTATGCAGGCCTATTGTTCTTGTCTATAGCGTTGGAAAGGGCTAGTTCCTGCCTCACTTTTTTTACCTAGAGTTTTCAATTTGTTTATTGGCTGGAAAATGTTGGAATGCAGGATTGAGGGCACAGTTTCGTGCTTTTTAGGAGTAACCTATATAGGTAGAATGCTTTGCTGGGCTATTTGGGTTTTCTAAAAATGTTTCCTGTTTTTTTGAATAGTACAAATGTAATACTATAGTTCTACTAACAGAACTACAGTTTGGACTGAAACAATGAAATTCGATTAGCACTTAAGACTTTTAAATTATGTTATAATATGTTAATATTTTGTAAAAGTTATGTTATGAGGAGGATTTTGACTTTTCATCTAATTTTTAAATATCTCTTGTTACTCAACACTTTTTGTGCCTCGGCCGACCTTAGCCTTTCTAAAATTCTTATATGTTTATAATTTTTAATATTAAAAAATTTAATTCTTCACTTAAGAAACTTGAATTATAGGTTTTAGGAAGAAATCACTAGGGATTCGTTAACGAAACACAGTAAGTGAATTTTCAAAACATAATGGAAAACTGAAATTCTATTGTTTTGTTAAATAATATTTGTATATAAATTTATTATTTTAATTTAGTGAGATCTAGATTCGGTACCAAATTGGATAGCTTCAGTCTCCCCCCTTTAGAATCTAATTGCCCTCCTGTGGGGGCATGGGCCCCACATTGGGAAACCCTCTAGATGAAACCAAAAACAAAAGCTTTACAAGAATGTACTTCAGAATACAAACCTAATTATCGATAGCTTTTAACTATTTAAAATGTTGCGTATGATTATTCGGCCGAGGTCAAATCAAGAACGGATCGAATACTAAAACAAACAGAATTAAATTATTAAATACAAAACGATTGTATAATCTGTATGTTTTGAAACATTCACATTTGTGTTAGCTAGTTCTTAATTTATGTTTAAAGGAATTTATGCTCGTTATATATTAATTTAATACAATCCTCACATCCGTAATATTAAATCAGTTGTTAAGTACTCAATTGTCTCTTTGTGATGGAAAAAGATCTGAAAGGGTAACGCACTCCTAAGTATCAAAATTGTTATCATTATGGGCCATTATTATATTGGTATACGTTTTCTACAGAAGTTTTAGAGCAGTATTGGTCAGTGGTTTCAACAGTGGACTCATAACTGGGTTCGTAGGTTTGATCCCCGGCTGTACATAATGATCTTTCTGTCTATATGCAGATTTAGCACCGCTCGTACGATGAAACCGGCATGCTTTAGACCCAAGAAGTCGACGTGTTAGGCACAGAAGGTTACCTACATGCCTATTATTAATTATCGCGGAACAGCGCGCTATTAGTATATACATATATTTACTTTTTCTACGGAAACTATTCAAATCAGTAGCTAACTAAACAAATAGGGGTAAGCTTTAACAAGCAATTACGTAATTGCAGTGTACTGAACTCAGATAACCGAGAATGATAATGAGATAATGACGAGTCGTTTACCACTTTCTATTGTTGACGCATAAATAATGTTGCCTAATGGATGAAAATAATAAAGTAGAGCATTAAGACTAACAGTTGTACTCAGAATCATGCATCTCACAGTCGAGGCTCGGTATGACTTATTCTAAACGTATTGCATTTTGATATTTTGGGCTAAGTCTCGACTTTGATTTCTACACAAAGACATGCCAGTTTCTACACAATCCTGACCGGAAGAGCAAACGTTATTAATTTATTTAAACTTCGTTACATTTAAAGTGCAGAGGATTTGGAGGAGGTGTTTGCCTAAAAAGGGCACACATAAAAGCAGGAGATAGAAATATAAATTTGTTTAAATGTAAAAGTTTCTGAATTAAATAGATACATAAATAGTTACATATATACATTTTTATATGTTATAAAAACAAGCATCGGGCAGCTTTATCGCAAACAAGCGAACTCTTCCAGGCAATCCAAGCGAGGAAACTAAAAAAAAATACTTAGGGTAAAGTGCAAAAAGTGCATAACCAAATCAAGAAAAATAACAAGTAACATTTACTCACAATTACCAAACTTATTTTATATTAAAAAATGGACTAAAAACTAAGAGCTAATTAACGGTTCGTGAATTCCAACGCAGAAAATACACGAATTACAAAAGTCACGATTGAGCAAGATAGGATATGTTTAAGAAGTGTTTATGTAGAAGAATTTAAAAGCGGTTAGACAGGTAATTGCCCTTAGAGAGATAGAATTTGTTTCTTGTGCACAGTTGGAAGCAAGGCCTTGTTAATCTTGAGTCACACGCTTGAGCTATTGGAAGATTACTGCTCCATACCGATGAAACGTTTCAGTTATACTTTTATATTTCAACAAGATGAAAAAAAACCCAGATGCAAGCCAAGACCCATATAGGATTTTAGGTGCTACGCAGTTCCTCTAACTTAAAGACAACATCCGCGACCAGACTATCCACTGACTGGCTGGGCCGAAGGCCCCAAGGTATGACGTCATCGCAGTGATTTGTAGCCGAACATTGCAGGTGAAGAGGTGGCATAAATATTTTGTATAATATACTATAAATACATACCTAATATACAGACTATAATTCTTATAGTTCATTTTTTATATTAGAGAAATTGCACCAAATGTCCACTCCGAATAATGCAATATTGTTTGGGGTTACTGCGTACAAGTGCTACATCAATGTATTGTCTAGGCGTTCCAACGCATTAACATAGTGCGCTTGGGTGCAATGATATTACGACATAATACATATATATAGTACAGTAATATGCGGATAATGCCGACAGTTTATCTAAATAGAGCTGTAATGCTAGAAAATTAGGGTAAAAATAATGAATATAATATATTATGTAAGTTTATTTAAGTTTGGTCGTAGGTTAAAACAATGTAATTAGGTCAATAGCAATAATAAGGGGTAACACTTGAATACATTTATATTGAAGTGGCTTCTTTCAATTAAGGGCTTCGTAAGGGTAATTTAAGGAAGCGCCATAAATAACTATAGCACTGTTCACCCATCATTGTAAATGTATATATTCGGAATAGGGGGCAAACGGTCCAGAGGTCACCTCATGTTACGTGATAACGCCGCTCATAGTGACTCACGCTGCCAGAAGGCTCGCAAGTGCGTAGTCAGTCTTAAGAATCAGTTCGCAATTTTTTGGAAGGACCATAAGTCGAATTTGTTCAGAAATACTTCTGTAGGCAACTAGTTCCATATAGTGGTTTTGCGCGGCAAGAACTGTCTTAAAAAAAGTGCGTGCGTACAAAGTACACAAACTTCTTTGGCAAACTAATTTTTAAGTCTTGTTCATATTTATATAAACCTTAAACTTTAGATTCCCGAGATTAAATTATTTTGCATAAAATATAAAATATTTATATTTCATAAATTCTCTTTACGAAATTTTAATTTTAAAAATAGAATTTCTATAAGGTAATTCGCCCTTCTCACTCTCTCAATCAGTCTCAATCGCTCTCTCCCTTTTCTTCGACAAAAACGCTGCACATCTTCGTGACGCTAATATTATTAGTATTGCGTTTCATCCTTAAAAATTTTACCCTCAGAAGTTTCACGTCCGTCGTTCGGGTGGAGTTTCGTATTCTGCTTCGACGTCCGTCATGTGTATGCGTTATATCAACTATGAAGTATCTGTGTGTGTGTATCATTGCGTGGTAGGATAAATTCGCGAACGGACACAAAGACAGAAAAACGACTGCTTATGTAACGACTTTTGCCAATTTTTGAGTGAGACACTTATAGATCCCATCCCATCTTCCAATTTATCATGAGTAACAATTCTTGTCACATCGTCAATCACCGTTTAATTAATTGAAATTAAGACGCAGATGTTTATTCTCTGGTTCAACCCAAAGGCACTTTCACGAAGTTAGTGAAATATCATCTTTTCAGTAGGTACATATGCATATTTAATATTAAATTTTTACATTTAAGAGCAATGTTAGCCTAGAAAGCCTTCAGTGTGTGACATCTCTTACATCCTAGTCGTAGGTTCGCTCATACCGTGAAGGAAAACATAGTGAGAAAACCTTAAACCTTGTGCCTTAGACCTAAAAAGTTGACAGCGTGTGTCAGGCACAGACATAGGCCCATCACCTATTAAAAAGCCAATAAAGAAATAGATGCCCAGACTTAAGAGATCGTTGTTTTTTTTAACTTATAAAATTTTATTGATTTAAAAGTTAAAACACGAAATGTTGTCTTACTGTTTTACATGGACCCTAAATTGAAAATTTGAACTGAGTTTTTTGAAAGAAAAAATATTTAATTTACGTAGACGTAGTTGCGGGTATAACCCTGTTGAGAATATCAGCAGCAAGTAAATTAGGTTTTGTGCTCGACTAGCAATTTATTAGCAAGAATAAAAGCTTTACTGCCTACGATAACGTTACCTTGATATTGGTTAGTTCCTGATATTATTAGAAACTACACAGTTTATTTTATTGTGGGTTAGAAAGTTGACGTGGATCAAGGAAAATCTATGTGAATTGAATATTAAGTATATTTCATTCAATGTGGGTACTTGATAAATTTTCATCTTGATAATACAAGAATCTAAAGAACTTTTACTTAATTATTTTTAGATTATTTGCAATTTTCTTTAAACTACCGACAGTGCGCATGCGCATCAAAAAGTACATGTGTAAGCTGATAAATTAAAAGAAGATAAAATATATTTTAAATTGAAAGTACGGGACTCTTATATATATTTTCTTTTCATACAATGATTTAATCGATAGTAATGCTAAATGGCTATTAAATTAAACAATACATAACATTTACCTTTTGATTTGGAACAGTTGAACTATCAAATGGTAGTTTGTATAGAATAAATATACATCAATCAAAACGTATATGTATATTTTAAATTGTGTAGAAAAGTATTCTATTTATTTCTTACAGGGAATTCGCGCGTGAGTTTTTTTATTATGGTTTTTTATACATGTCATTTCCTAATATTTCTGGTTTACTAACTACTACTAACTAAGGACGTCTATTTTTGATAAACTCTTTTAAAAACGATTTCGTGGAACAATTATGCTTTATTGATGTCGGAAAATTAAAACTAGTTCAGATATTTATATCCGATGATTAGACGAATTCGTTATGATGAGAAGAAACTAAATACAGTGGTTTATTATTCTGTTGAATATAGAAAATTGGTAAGGAAATTAATAAATTTTTATAGGTAGTTAAAATTTGACCGAATTTAATGGTTTTATGAAGGTAAGGCTTAGAGTCCGCGGAAAGGGAAGCTGAGGCGTTTATGTAAAATAATAGAATTTTGCTATTTATTAAAAATATTATGTATGTACTATTAATTATAATTAAATTAAATTCAATTAATCTTTTATTAGTGAAACTTTTTTTTGAGGATATGTCCAATGTGTATTTAATTTATGTTCTACATTTATTTTATTTTTCTGTAGTGATGTATCTGTTTAGTTTCCAATAAATAAATAAATAAATAAATAATATAGCCCATTTCATAATAATTATATCAAATACTTTAATGAGTTTAGTAATGCATACTAGAAACTAAAAACTAACCTATAGACTACCAACTACCTTATTAAAGATTAAAGAGTGGTGTCTACCTACATATTCTATAACAAAATCACAAATACCAACATAACAATAGCAAAAAAGTAATTTAGCACTGTAGCGACCTAAAATCGACTCTTCTAAGATAAGGTAAGGTCTTTCGTTGACGAGAATTTGCGGGAATTATGCTTCCCGTATATCAAAATCCTATACATTTTTGACATACGAAGACTCGTTACTGAATCTTACCATACAAAGCACTAAACTGTTTTTTTTCAACTACCCTCTATTTAGCGGTATGGTATAAAAATGTTACAATAAATAACATATCTTTGTTTTGTTTTAGGTTGGGATGCCAGTGAGGGCGAGAGAGCGCCGTTCCTTCGAAATGAGCCGGTGCGGTTAACGCCCGCCTGGGAAGGGTCAAACCTGCCCAATGATACGCTTAATTTGAAAGGTAATAATAGAATTTATATTTTTCGCCATAGAAAATGTATCTAAAGAACCCACTGGACAGTGACACATTAGTGTCGTTAAACGCCTATTCAACTTTGGGATCTTTCGTCTTCAAATTGAGGTCCCACCGTGTTTCATATAAAAATATTTTGTTTTTGTAAAATTTGTATGAAGTTCATAAGTAAGAGTTTTTGGGGTAAGATACAGAAACGACTCTAAGCGCTAAGTCTGGCTCTTGTAAGTCATAATGTATCACGGGACTCACTTTCGAGTATCGTTTTTTATAATTAAAATGCATAATGATCTGATTAATAAATTGCACTAAATGTCCACTCTAAATAGTATAATATTATTTGGGGTTACTGCGAATGAAGTGCTACATAATAGTACCATCTAGGCGTTCCAGAAGGACTGAATTTTAGTGCTTATGGGTGCAATGATAGTACTACATTCTATATAATATCCTTTGCACTGCTTTGCTTCTTATTGGCGGCTGTATTCACTCGGATATCTCGGCGAGTATGATATTAGGTGCATGAGTATACATATAATTATTATAAAAAAGTACACAATAGTGGAGAAATGGTTAGGCTATATTATAAAAAGCAAATTTACGATAACTTTATAATAAAATATTTGAATTTCAAAACTTGTACTAAAATTCAAAACATAACATTCTAAATTAAATTGAATTGAAAATCTAAATTAAATTGAAGAATATAAGGTAAAAAAACATTATTAATCTATAATTAAGTGAATCAAAATGACAACGACTCTTTTATTTATGAGGCCTTGTTGGCCTAGGATTTAATTTATACACGAGAGCAGCGGTAGCTTTAGCCAGGGAAATCCTGGGCCTTGCTTATACCGCGAAGATTAAGTTAAGAAACCTAGTCAAATGTGACTCCTGAGACATCGACAGACTGGTCACATACTTACATATAAAGAAAAATTACCATGTAAACAAATATAAATAAATATAATCTTGAATTCAATGCTTGGTCTTTTCATGACAAGGGTTGTAACTCTATTTGCTTTCTTGTAATCTATAAATCGTTTAGAAATATCCCATATATTAGTGATTCATCAAAGTAATAAAATGTATGGGTTTTTGATGCATATTCACAGGGCATCGCCTACGAACATATGCGGCGTACTTACGTAGGCGAATGTCATCGACTAGTTAAGGTGGTTTTAAGAATATCGGTTAAAACTGTTAAAGCAAAGTTTAAATATAAATTTATTTTACCACGATTGTGAATTTTTAAAGATTTTCTACAGTTGACAGGTAAAGAAATTGTATTTCAAGTAAATATTAAATATTGCTGAAATAATAAAATAGATTTCGGAAAAGCTAGTATTTGTTGTATTGAATTATCTATGCTATGCGTAGAAGTTGGTAGAAATGTGATTTTCCTGTTAAAGAAGAATTAAAATACAATACAAGCCTATTAATAATTACTGGAATATAATTGGATAATTTTAATAATTATTACTCACTGTTACAAGAAATCTTAATTGTGAACCTTCAAACATTTCTACGTAAAATTAAATTCTTCACCTATAGAAAGCTATATTACTATTTTAGTTATAAATATAGGTAGAAAAAAAAAATTACCAAAAAAATCCCTACAAAAATTATTTATACTATCGAAAACACGAACGATAAGGTATAGAGTTGTATTTTCATGAAGGTATTAAAAATATTTCAGAATAGGCTGCATTATTTACAAAATAAATAAAATCTGTCAAAATAAAATTTTGTTTAGTATCATGAAAATACATACTTTAAAATTTTTATTACGAAGCATATGCCTCGGGTTTTTAGGCAATATATTAGTGTTAATGCGACTGACATAATGAATTGGCGTCCTAAATATACATGTGGGAGAGATATTGATGCCCGCATCGAAACATTGCCTAATTGTGTATCAATTTACAAGACGACTTCCTCTAAATCTGTATTACAATTTGATTTTCGGCCAAGCGCGACTTTACCCGGTCGTTATGAGTTCAAGCCCTGGCTGCGTGAGGAAACCAGTATGCCTTATAAAACCTAAAAATCGATGTCTTGACAGGCGCTGAGGTTTACTTGTCCATAGAAGAATAATTATCAAAGCAAAGTGTTTTTGCTTATTTATATTATTATTTAAGGCTATTAATACCTATTCAAAATTTAGAATTATAATTGATATATTTCATTCATAAATCTGCTGCAGAGTGCATTCTTGTTGGTTGTTTTTTAAAAACACAAAATATAGATAGTTTTTTTTTATTTAATTTGTTTGGGCATCAATATCTGAAATGAAGGCAAGTAGGTGAACAGCTGTCTAAGCCTCTTAACACAAAATTGTAATAATTTCAGAAGGAATCGAACCTAGTGAACACATTATTTCACACTATGTTCATACTTAACATAATCGTAACATTATATACATAAGGGAATTACCCATACTACGTAAAATACTTAAAAACCTCTGCTTAGCATTTCGAATATAGAACTTGATATTATTTAAATTAAATGGTAACACTTAAAATAAAAATAAATATTCTGTTGCTTCTATGATCATAGCCTAATTTCATAATCTACACGCTTGACGGATTACTTTTCAAGATTATTTCATAATTGACAACTTCCGTAAACTTTTAAAAACTAAACAGTCTATGTTAGTGTTTATATCTTTGTGGTCTAATTCCGAACGTTTCTGCAGGGATCGCGATGGATTTGGTACCGCCGAAGGACAAATGGAATTTAATATACCTCACATTAATTCTCCACGGGCTGGGGACTTTGACGGCTTGGAATATGTTAATAACAGCGAAAGACTACTTCGTGAGTTACAAGTTGGCAAATGCTCCTTTATATGCAGAGAACCTAATGCCTTATATGGGCTGGGCGGCACAAGTACCGAACCTAATATTCAGCTGGATTAATATTTTTGTCGAAATTGGGTGAGTTATACTGATACATACTAGTAATAAACTATAACACTACTAATACTTTCTGAGTAGCAAATTCTATCGGGTGATATTAACATTGAACATTTTTTACCATAGGAATTAAAATAATTACAGTCAAATCTGTTATAACGACATCGGAGGGACTACTCATATTTGGTCGTAAAAACCAGCATAGTTAGTTGATAGTCGTAACAGCCGATGACGTTGTTATTAAATACCAATAAAGTATACAATATAATTCAGCCGGGATCTTTGATTTTGGTCAATATAACCGGTATGTTGTTTTAAACGATGTCGTAAGTAGTTTTGACTGTATACCTATTTTGGCCAATACACGACGGAAGACAAAGTTCAATAGTTTTGAATGATATGACTATTAATTTAATCCGTATAAATGTTACCCTATTTAAATGCTATATATTTTCCACTTCCAACGCAGTGAGTTATCAGTATGTCTGTCTCTCACATTTTACAGTGGGTACATCGACGCTCTACTAAAACACTTGCAAGTTTCACATAAACTTGTGAGCACCTAAGTTTTGCAACAACTACCTATGTTTCCCTTAATAGTATAGTACAATCTTTAACTATGATCTTTAAGGATTTTAATCATAAAATCTAAAACGCGGAAGTTCACAATTCAAAACAAAAGACGAAACGATGGTCTCGTTGATTTTTGATTGTTCGATAGCCATCTATCGAACGATTCGTCGTCGGTTTGACCAATCACAACCAAACGACACGGGCTACCGTTTCGTTGCTTTATTTAAAAATTAAAGAACCACTTTTCCCACTGTCAGCCAGAAATACATTTTTGGTTACGTTAGAAAGTGACAATATGAGGGAATAGTATATTAATGATTATTATAAGGAAAATAAAATAAATTTTCATTTTTGTCCCGTTATTCAATGTCTTAGTAAGACTTTGGCTCCGTTTGAATTCTCATCATACAAATGTATTAAAATAACATAATATTCTAATCATAATTTCAGCGGTGACCTGACCACTCGTATCGTTTGGTCGCTCTGTCTGGAAGTCGTAATGCTGGTCGTGACAGTGATATTTGCGATGGTTGACAGCTCAGAATGGCCCGTCATTTTCTTCTGGGTAACGATGGTCACTGTCTTCTTATTATGCGGTTAGTATAAGCAAATAATAAAGCATTAGCTTTAGTTGTCCTCCACCATCATTATGTATCTGTATTTTATTAGAAATGGCGTGACTAGCGTCTTTAGCATCATTTATATTTCTAGTATGTTACAACTCCAAAAAATTGCTGTTTCGCCCGCAATCCTCTGTGGGCTGGGCCTCAAATTTCTGTATATGTTTCATGATCATTTGATTAGATTAACATTTAATAGCCAAGTAGGTGATCAGCCTCGTGTGCCTGACATACACCGTCGACTTTTTGAAGTCTAAGGCAAGCCGGTTTCCTCACGATGTTTTCCTTCACCGTTCGAGCCAATGTTAAATGCGCATATAGAAAGAAAGTAAATTGGTGCGTAAAAGTATATACTATGCATTATTCAGCCTTATTTTATAGTTTCATAAATGTGATTATCCCACTTCCCAACGCAGTGGACTTATCAATTATGATATTTATCACAAATAATAAAGTGGGTACAGTAAAGCTCTACTAAAACACACGCAAGTTTTTATATAAACTTGTGTGCACCTAAGTCTTGCGACAAGTAGGAATTTTCACTTAACAGAAGAAAAACGAAAGTGACTTTTGCGTTTTTAATATTAATTACCAAAATTAACATAATCACTCTCATGTTCTACCGATGGATGGAGTCATCCATTGGAAAATATTCTCTCCGGTCTAACATTAGTTACTAATAGTTTGTTTTTTGAATAAAAGATATAAGTGAAATAATTTCTTTATACAGGTTCCAATGCGATATTTCAAAACTCCGTATACGGTGTGTCAGCTCGCTTGCCTCCTCAATACACCGGAGCAGTAGTTCTAGGATCGAATATCGCTGGCACTCTCGTGGTTTTCCTGAACTGGGCGAGTGACGAGTTTACCCAGAGCCACCGAACGTCAGCCATCTATTACTTTATATGTGGGATATTCGTGCTCCTGATCTGTTTCGACACCTACTTCGCCTTACCGCTTAATGTAAGTAGATATTTTACATTTACGAGTACGAACTAGTGACTTTATTAATATAAAAAAAAACACTCAAACTGTTTTTTCGTCTTACGATATCAAATAAAATAAGTTTTTTTATATGCTTTTCTCAGTTGTGAAAAAAGTAGTTGTAGAAAATTAGAAAATATAGATTTGTTTATATTGCGAGAAGCCGTAAATGTATTGAATATCCCACTTCCAACGCAGTGAGTTATCAGTATGTCTGTCTCTCACATTTTACAGTGGGCACATTGAAGCTCTACTAAAACACTTGCAAGTTTCTCATAAACTTGTGAGCACCTAAGTTTTGCCACAAATTAATAAGATCTTTTAAGCTAAATGTATATCGTATTAGCATTGTTCGTTTTTAAAAAGCAAACCGCGAACATCTTAGGTATTCTAAAATATGGATATGTTTTGAAATGCGAACCTTATATAATGTTACTGACCCCGAGATCCATAAAAAATAAATCTAATTACAAACATTTTTCTATGTACACTGCTCTCTCTTTTTATCACAGCGTTAACACAATGCGACAGACGAATGACGAAATACGAAATAGTACGTTTGGTAAGACTGATTCAGTTTTAATGATTAAGCGGATTAAAATTGTATCATGTATTTTGAAGAGAAACGTAGCAACAAAACTTCGATTCAGACAAATATTTCTGTTCTATGCATTTCTCCTTGGCTACTTTTCTGCTCATTGAATAATTTATTTTATACGGTAAAATCGCTCAAAACGATATCTTGATGATTTCTAAGTACAATTAAAGTAACTGTGGCTGCGTTAATGCCTTTAAAAGAACAGCTAAGGGAGCGTCCAAGTATTAAGTCACGCAATTTTTGGAGATTATTGAAAATTGTAACGCCCCCCGTGTAACGCGCCGTAACGTTTTTCTGTACCCAATATCAAGAGTCACTGGGTGGTTTCGTGACCACCCAGTGACTCTTTATAGTTAAAAGTTACCATTATGTGCTGGAAAGTCGAAAATAATATTAATAATAACGCGTAATTCAATCTCCCCCCCGCATCGTAACGTTTTACAAAAGGACCCCCCCTCCCAAAATTCGTTACGTAATACTTGAACGCTCCCTAACACATATTAGCTTTTAATTTTATAAAAACAATGCCTTTTGATTTCAGAGATTTTACCGCTACCACGTGACATTGCAAGAGCGAACCTTACAAGTGAACCCAACTCTAGCGACCAACAATCCTCCAGTGAAACAAAAGACCCCCTACGGACTGATCTTTAGACAGGGCTTCATACAATTCTACAATGTATTCCTCACATTCTTCGTCACTCTCACTGTATTTCCCACAATTCATTCAGGTAATAATAATTATAAGCATAACCTTTACAATATAATTTAAACTTCCGTTTTAGTCAAATTAGTTCAGCAAATTTCATTGCAAATTTTCTATGTTATAAGTTACTCAATAAAATCTCGGCTCGGATCATCAATGTACCGTTAAGTTATTTCCTCTAAAAAATTTAAAAAAAGGAAGCGAATTGTAGTTTTTAAGCACCATACATTTATTTGTAGTAAATTAGTTGCAAACAGGCGAACATAACTGTAAAAGCTCTTTATAATTGTTTAAAAGCCAACGGACCCACTTCCAACGCAGTGACATATACCAAAATGTTATCGTCACATTTATACAGTGGGTATATCGAAGCTCTACTAAAACACACGCAGGTTTCTTCAATAAACTTGTGTGCACCTAAGTTTAGCTACACTTATTAATTAAAAAAAAAACATACTTTTTCTTCTTCTCATTATGTTTGTTTATTATATGTTCTATGTATTTTTCAGATATCAAACCCATGTCTACGGACTTCTTTGGAAATCAGTTCACTCGTATCACGTGTTTCTTGACGTTCAACGCTATGGCCATGATTGGGAGTATCACGGCTAGTCTCTGGCGATATGTAAGTTTTATAACACCATATTCTAATCTCATATTTTTATATAACATTGGTCAGCGTTTTACGCCTTTCACCCCCAAAGTAATTATTGTTTACATTTATTATTTTAGATCATTGACAGCTATATTATTTTGAACTTTACTTAAAATTATATAAATTAACAAAAAATCTTAATATGTTTAATTAAAACTAGTAAATAAAAAGGGTGCGTGTACTTATGTACGCGCGTAAGAAGTTATACTTCTTTGGCTTTTTTTTAAATATTAAATAATTAATAATAAATATTTAACGTTAATAATTTAATAATATGTAATAATTAGTATATTAATAATAAATATTATATATTATTTTTTTATATTTTATCATTCAATTTAATAACTAGGTATGTTTCACAACCTTTTAACTAAGTAACAATAGGTCTCTGTGAAAAAGCATTGCTAAATTTCTTTGAAAAAATAATTAATACTCCTTTATTTGTTTAAAAGGTACTACAAAGGTCATTAATCATTATGGTCATTCAAAATTCTTGGCATAGCTGCTTACTTCACGCATATTCTATTTCTTTTTACTTGTAGATTGTCTTATTCCCATCTCGCTCGCGCACGCTCGGCGCCCGGCTGGTTTAAAAAGAATTCGTTAGTGGGCAACTTCATTCTGTTAATTTTGTGTCACGGTGCGCGCGCATCGTAAAATTTCACTCTCATCAATTTTTCATAACGCGCCTAAAGAAGTATAACTTCAAAAACACAGAAATGTGTCTTGTATATGACTTTATTTTTGCGTCTTAATATTGACCCACTTTCCAACGCAGTGCATTATACAATAATGATAATGACACATTTATACAGTGGGTATATCAAAGCTCTACTAAAACACATGCAGGTTTCTTCAATAAACTTGTGTGCACCTAAGTTTAGCAACACTAAAAACATCTATAAATATGCACGAATAATTATAATCTATTTGTTTTTACGTCACAAAATTACTTATGTAACAGGCATATTATTATTGTATATCAGATCTTTCCCCTTATTCATGAACATACTGGAATCCTGTCGGACTTCAATTATATAACAATAATTTCTATATCACTTATCTCCAATGAATGTTTATGTTAATCTTAATATTAATTTCAGCCAACTCCTCGATGGCTCTCAGTATTTACAACACTGCGTATCCTATTCATCCCACTGTTCCTACTATGCAACTACCAGCCACTTGGCAAACAACGGACGTTACCCGTGTTAATTAACAATGATTGGGTCTACTGGGTTATGGCTATCGTCATGGGATGGAGCTCTGGCCATGGAAGTTCTCTTGGAATGATGTATGTTGGCGGGTAAGTAATGATTTTTAAATGTTCTTTGATTATAATTACAATATTAGTACTTCATAGTTTGTGTTATAAATTTTACCATAAACAAACCAGAAAATATGTGCTATTTAAACTTTAGGAATTTACTCTGGTAACATTAATAATCCAATGGCACAGCCCTATATGGGAATTGGCCTCAGCTTGTATTATGCCATTAATCATTTTTTTTTCAAAGAAGATGGTCTGTCGTACACATGTCGTAGCTTTTTTTGATTTGACATTTCCTCACGATGTTAGCCTTTACCGTACGAGCAATTGTTATATGCCCACATAGACAGTAAGTGCACAGACCTACGAATCTCAGGAATGAGAGTCGCACCCTGAAGCCATTAGGCCAACACTGCTCTGATTAACTCTAATTGATAAGTTATGCCTCGAATTCAATTAATACAATCATGTCACTTTCAAAATTTTAATAAATTGTAATGTGAACCATGTGTGTAATAGGATTAAAGAATAAGAAATTTATTTTCTTTGTTGACGTAAAAAAAAATTGCAATACGTGTTCTCCGATTTCTCTTGATTCTGCTTGAGTTAATGAGCCTTGAGACGGGGTAAATATTTGTGCACTACATTTAAACATTTTCTTCAGAACCGTAGCGCCCGAGCACGCAGCTACCGCGGGCATGTTAGGTGCCGCAATGCTCGTAACGGGCATCGTCTCTGGAATCACCTTCTCGTGCTTCAGCCCCTCCTTTGTGTCACTGGGCGCCTGGTCCAGCATGTAGCGGCTAATTTCGAATCTGGGAACTTTCTGGAACATTATAGTGCTCAAGTGATTTTGAAACCTTTGAGCTGAAATACTAGAACGTGTTCTAAAAATATGACATGACCTAAAGAACAAGTTTTAGAAAGGGAAGTGAAGTGTGACGTGAGTAGAAATGGTGGACGTTGAAAAATTACATGTTATATTGTTGAGTTAGATATTGTATAAGTTATAAATACATAATGGAAGGCATGAAACAAAATTCTGAATAAACAGAATTTTTATTAAGAAATTATGACAGCTATACTGAATATATTAGATATAAAAAAAACTAAAATCATGTTGAAATTGACTAATACATTTTCATTGCTAATAAATACGACTGAATGAAGTACTATTAATCCTAACTAGATTCATTGAATAAGAGTAAGTAATATGCATTCGGGTGTTCTTCAAAGAAGTCTAAAGCTAGACTAAAATCATTAAAATATATAAGTTATAGATTAAAAATAAAAATGTTACTATTTATAGAGTATTTAGTAGTTAGTACGGAATGTTCGGAAGACATAGATGACATTTTATAATTAGGTATCATATCTTTGAATAGCGTATACGATTTTACTTATACGTACGTAAGTTCGTTGGCAAAGCGCTCCATATAATAATACTAATTTATTTCAAATAAGTTTTTCAAGTAAACTTTATAAGATATATAATTATTAAAATGTCTTTACATTAGATTGGAATGTATGATTGTATTATTAAAATTGTTTGAATGCATTTATGTACTAAGAGAATTTATAGGTAGATTATATTTTGTTTATCCTCATAGAATTAAGTTTTTAATCCAAAGCAAAGAACCTATGGACTATCATTTTTGTTAGATTTATTAGCAACATTTTAAATTGGTTGCAGTTTTAAAATGAAAGTGGTATGTCATAGTTATTATAGTTACGGAGAGTTAAATATCAAGTCATTTTTGTACAAATAATACCATTGCTGGTATGATAAAAATACTAATTAATTAAAATAGGATTATATTTCTTAGAAATAACACAAACCACATGACATTAATTATCAGACAAATTGTTTTAAAGGGTGCTACAAAGGAATTGCTCTTAAATTTTTGACTAAAGCACAAAGTATGTATATGTAATCTCTAGAATTAGTATTTGCGTACTAAAATCATGTTTTGACTGAATTTTAATGGTGTATTCATCGGATTGTTTTGAAATCAATTGCAGTTTTAATAAATCCTAACTTCTGTATATTTTCCGACCAGTAAACTGGTCTGTGAGTCGTTTGAGATGCATTTGTTTTGCCAAGTACCATATTGACACAAATATACATATTAAAGAAACAGTTAAATCTTGATACATCAATACATGTATAAAACTGTGTTTATATTTTTATTTTCTTGCATGTTTAAGTTTTCATCCTATTTTGTGTAGTGTGAGTTAGTTTTTTACCATGTTTTTTTTCCAGAAATATTGTTTCCTTGTAGTTGAAAACTTTATGAATGGTATGTTACGAAAACCAAATATTACAAATTAGAAGTAATTTGTCATCATACGCTAGCCATTGTTAATTTTATTTATTGCCTAGTAAATTTTTTTCTATTATTTTTGTCTTTTATTTTTTGTGTGAATTATTTAACACATTACAAATATCTTCTTGAGAATATTATAATACAAATTTATCGCGACGAGATTAAAATAATTGTTAACCGGTTAATGTGTAAATAGTATATAAGGTTATCACAGATAAGAACAATATACCTTTGACATAAACGATAGATATAAGTTAACGACAATAGACGCGGACAGAACGTTCCATGTAGTGTTAAGAAGCAATAATTTTTATGAAAATACACGAACTGCCACAAGGTATTAAAATAATTGAAATTTAAATAGTCTATAACTTCACCCTCCCATGATAGCTAACTTTGGAGTAAAACGTTAAATTTATCTCTCGTCCAATGACTGTCATGTGGGTTAAGGTAATTTTTTTTAAACAGTTGAATAATTGTTATACTGTGGAACTTTAACGCGTTTAATCCGGTGATACTATACCGGTCCATTGTTTGATTTATCTACTATTTAAGATTAGGACTTTTCTATGCGTAATAGCTTACATCTTCTTGGCATAACCTTAACATAAAGAGCTAAAAGATAAACAATAATTTTGACTTGCTATCTTATAAGGACAATTAGTATTTCAGAATAATAATTAAATGGTGATGATATTAATTTATCCCTAATAGGAAAGGCAAAGGACTTTAGTCCATACAGCCAGGTCTTGTTCTTAATAATAATTAAAGTGACATGTGTCAAAATTCTAAATTTGACATATGTTACTCGGATTAATATGCCATTCAATTTGACAATTAACAATACTGTCATACAAAATAATCCCAATAATCTATATTGTTGAAATATGTGCCTGATTAAAAAATACCAATCATAGCTTATCCTGTAAATTATTATAGCTGTTCTTTCCTATTTACATTAGTTAGCTAAAATGTAACACTTTAATATAATACGCACTCCTTTTAGTGTTTGAGGCTGTGAAATAATAGCTTTAACCTTTCCATTGTAGATATCACTATTCACATTTTATTTAAAAGTAGACTTTAACTCGAAAGTAAATTATATAGTTATGGCAATCGTGGGTGTATTTTAAGTTTATAATGTTATTATTGACTGAATGTTCGTTAACGAGTTATTAATATTGTTAATTTAAAGACTAGACCTTGGAGTACAAATAATTTCTTAGAAACCTTACATTTTGTGTAACTTTAATATTTAAAATTTCTACATTTAAATTAAACTTTTATTTATGTCTTTTTTAATAATTAAAAAGAAAAATAAATCAGTCTTATATAAACTACTGATTTCTCTCTTTACGACAAATCGTGTTTATCTGAGAAATGTGAAACAAGATTGAAGTAACCAATGTAATGCCGTGATTGAAGGACCAGTGTTTTAGTTAAATTCTTTTATACGATTATTTTTGTCTTAACAAGGACCATGGTTGTGGTTTTTATATATTGAAATTTACTTTTGGAATTTTATCATTTTGACTATCACGTATTATTTAGTTCGTACCTTTTGCACTAGTTCGCGTAAAAATAAATATATTGATAGTATATGTCGGAGCAACAATGGCAGTTAACAGAAGCGCCATTGCTCGGACATATACATTTTAAAATTTAGAAGTTTTAAACAATGCATTTCTGTGTCTTCTACACATACACAAACAAGATGTATGCAGTATATCCAAAAGAGACATATTTATCTTGCTAACATATTAATAAATATATTTGCGTGCTTAAAAATCTAGCAACGTGACTTCATTACTCATGAGGGCGGTGTCACTTCACATATAAGTCCTGCCATAGAAGATGTTTATGGAATAAATATGCTACATAGAAATGCAATGCCTTAAAAAACTATAGTTTTAAAATAGTAGAACCGCTTAGAATCCCGGCACTGTCTGTCATATGCTTACCTAATCGTAATTATCAAAAATATAAATTATTTAAAATTCATAATGTTTCTAGTGATAAGTGATATTATATAATAAAGTATAACCTAAAATTTATATAAAAATACGTATATACAATTTAGGTGCTAGTTATTAGACGATATATCTATAGTGTTATAAAATAAATTCTTACTAATCTTCCACAATCAAGTAATTTTCGTTTAACTTAAGATATTCATTTGATGATATTTTTTTCCGAATTTTGGTTCGTGCTATTTTTTTTATTTTTTTTTATTTTCGCCCATGGCGCATAGTCCTTCGACCATACCGCCTAGTCTTTTGTAGAATAGTTTACTTTCTACAAAAGACTCGCCTTACGGCCTGGCTAAAGTCTTTACCGCCTTGTATATGTTTTTTTTTTCTAAGAGATTCCACAACCTGGAATAAACATATTAAGTCCACCATTTAAAAAATAAAATAAGTTGAAAGACGCCATTGTTAGAAAAGCGCGCGAAAATTTCTTGATAGTGATACCATCTCTATTTTCTCCTTTTTCCTCTTGACCTTCAAAGTAACATTGTGACAATAATAGCAACCCTCACATCCAATTGTAACCGTATTTTTCCACTTTTACACAATATTATCAATTATATGACTAATCTTCTGCTTCTGATATATAATAAAAATACTTATCCATTTTCAACTGTGTTTTATTCTTCTTTAAATAAGTCAAAATTAAAATAACTATTAACGTTGATAAAATCTATTTTTATTTTCTATAGCTTTGTTTATGACAGGATAACATTTAACCGCCTTTTATGTTACTGTACGCATGGTTGATGTCCACCTATGTGTGTGATTATTACCAAAATATATTCTAAAAGAAAAATGTTCCCTAATTTTAATTTTAATTAATTCTAAGGTTTGTGCAATAGATTACTCTGTTCTAAATAATTCGGAGAGTCAATACAAAAGATTGTTTAATGTTATTCAAAATGAGTTTGATAGTATTTACCCATTAAAGACTGTAAAGTGCAACAAAAAAATCAAGTTTGATGACTAGGCCACGAGTGGTATTTTTAAGAGTAGGAATAGGCTTTATGAATTATATGCATTAAGAAAATATAATCACAACGCAGTGTTTATGGAATATGTCAGAAATTATTCCAAAACTTTTAGAAAAGTTTGCAAATATACAAAGGCATTGCATATACGTGAGAAAATTAAGAATTCAAGTAATAAAATCAAAACTACTTGGAATGTTATAATTCGAGAAACAGGAAACATTAAATCCCGTAATAATTCATTCTTTTTAAAGGTAGATGATAAGATTATTGTTGAAAGCTCAGAGATTGCTGATATTTTTGAAGATTTCTTTACAAACATACCTGTAATTACTACATCTTCTCTGAATTCCTCTCCTAAAGAGGCTATTAGTTTTCTTAAAAGTCACGTACCGGAATGCAAAATAAATTTTCAGTTTAAGCACGTTAGCGCTGGTGATGTAGTTAAAACTTTTAAATCTTTAAAATTAAA